TTGAATTACCAATCTTTTATATCTAAAATGTGCCTAAACCAATAGCCTATGAAATCCTACTGACCTTAACAAATATGATATCTCCAAATCAATAACTTTAGGACATTTATGAGTTTTATTACTTAAAAAAAATGTAAAAGAACTCTCATTGAAATTCCACTTTCTTTAAAAGAATAGTTTTGGAATTAATCAAAATAATAATAAAAATGTCAAAAACTTTATATTAGTCTTTCTTGTAACTTTTAAGATTGAACTCAAAATATAATTCAAAATAAAAGTGAAATGAGATAAAACTATAAAATTTTTGTTCTTTATAAAAAATAAACCAACAAAATGTGGGAAAAATTATTAAAGAATGAATTTAACCAATAAAAGGAAAAACTAATAGTTTACATATTTGTAAAAATTCATTTTTCAAAACTTTCACATCTGTGAGTTTCTTAAAAGAAAATATATAATTTTCTTTAAAACACATTGTCAACAATGACAACAATATACCTTTTAAAATTAATAACCACTAAATTTGATAATATTAGCTAAGATGATCAAACTAAGGTCTTAATTGAAAGTTATACAAACAAAATAATGTTTGTCAAAATGAAATTATATTTCAAAACTCTCGATTTTACTTAAAATAAATTAAGATATCATAATAGGTCTAAAACTATCTTGTGTGGAAGCTATTATTTTTTGCTATAATAAAATGCTATATAGCAAATGTATATCTTCAAATGTGATAAATTAAAGTGACTATTACTTTTCATCGACCGAGACTCAAACTCTAAGCTCGTGTAGCTCCAAGATATAGGAATGGATTCTTAATATCTCAAATCAGCCTAACACAAGAAACAATGCACGGGCACTCTAGACTGCGAGACTTGATCGCCCAATACATTGCAAAACAAAAAGGCACAGTAAATGCCTGAAGAAAGGCTAACAAAAGAATAATATAAAGGTTTAAGGTAAGAGTAAGGATGTTATTACTCAATAGTTCTGGTCTCTTTTCTAACCATGCCACAACCAAAACACATAAATAGTTAGATCACGATTGCACAAACCAAAAGTTTACCTTAACTCTAGTAGGCACTCTAACGATCTGATTCTTGTTTTTGCAAATCAACATAACATACACTATTAGGCACTAGTCTGTACACAGGCTCAGCACACCAACCTCTTGGTCTGGCACCAATCCGCAGACCTGCATAGCATACCTGGCATACCCATAGTATATAGTAACAAGTTGTCAAGCACTTGTCCTACATTCTAGCACGCCCGCACCTAGCATATTAGGAGTGTTTCACCAGTACACAAGTACAATAGCCCTTCTAAGATGTTCGCACCATGTAGTAAACCGTCCAAACCACAAAGTAAAATGTCTACACATACAGTAAGATGTTCGTACACATAGTAGGATGCCTACATAACTCACTACAATGCTCACACACCACACCAAGATGCTCGCACGCAAGTCTCTTGACCTGCACCGATGTCAACTCTGGCTCTCACGAAAACTCTAGCTCTTCTTGTTACAAATAAGGATCTGTTGCACGCTCTAAACCAAAATGTGCTTGAGTTATGGAGTTTCATAGCCAATTCTAAAAGGCTTTACTGACGCTGACATAATAAGTGATCTTGATGATAGGAAATCTATTTCAGGGTATTTATTCACTTTTACAGGAGGAGCTGTGTCTTGGCAGTCTAAGTTGCAAAAATGTATTGCTTTGTCAACTACATAGGCTGAGTATATTGCAGCAACCAAAATAGGTAAATAAATGCTTTGGATGAAACATTTTTTTCTTAAATTGAGTTGAATCAGAAAGAGTATGTGGTGTTTTGTGATAGCCAAAATACCTTAGATTTGAGTAAGAATGCCATGTATCATGCTAGAATAAAGCATATTGATGTTAGATATCACTAGTTACGTTCAGTAATTGAAGAATAGCAGATGCTACTGAAGAAAGTCCATACTGATCAGAATATAGTAGATATATTAACTAAGATACTTCTCAAAGAAAAGCTTGTGCTCTATAGTAATATAGCCGAAATAAGTTCCTTAGCCAAGGTAAGTTTCAAATGAACTGTTATGGTAATGAATCTCTTTCTAATGGGGCTAAAGGGAGAGATTGTTAGGAAAATGGGTTCTAGTTCTATGTAATTAGTTTTGGCCTAATCAAAGGCCATGGGCCTTGGTCTTTCTTTTTATACAGAGCTCTAGCTACTTAATAAAAAGATGTGGGGTTGTTTTAAGGTAGTGTCGTAAACCAAGAAAAGAAAGAAGAAAAGCTAGAAAAATAGAGAGAAAATGAAAAATGAGAGTTAGTTGAACGGAAGTCGATCCGTGATTCGATTGAACTAAAATTTTGTCAACAGGTTTATGATTGAGAGTTATACATTTTGAATGGTGAAGATCGGGTTTGAAGTTCTCTAGGAACAAAGCTATGGTGTATTTGTTAAGTCACTTATTTGATAAGATTTTTCTAATTGTCTCTCTCTAGTTGTTGATTAGCTCTAGTTTTAGCTAGATAAGAACTTTGTATATTTATTATTTAATAGTAGAGATTTTTCTGGTAATTTATGATTTTTTTTTTTACACTAAAAAGTTTTTCACGTAAATCTTAGTGTGCTTTATTTTTCATATATTGTTAATTATTAATTATTGATTGTTATCTATTATTGTGAGTTTATTACTATTTATTGCTTTTACGTTATTGTGTTTATTGATTCAAGTCCAACAATACATTGCAAAAAATGTATCACTTACAACCAAAGAACATATACAACTATTTTAAATCCTCACAACATGATGCAATACTCAATTACCTCTTACCTTATCTATGTTAGATTCTTTAACCATTGTTGTAACTAACCATATGTGATGCATGAACGTTTTTTATATTTACTAACCATATGAATTCAATGAGCACTAACATATATGTGCTAAATATTCAAGATAAAAGAAATTGTCGAGGCATACGTTTAAAAAATATAAGTTTTGTGCAGAAAATTATAAGTAGAAATAAACAATTCTACTAATATGGAATAAAGTACAAATCACTCAATGATATCATAAAAGGTAGTATAATTCTAATTTTTCTTCTCTTTATTGCTACTCACATTAATAACAGAAAATGAATAAATAATACAATAATAATAATAAACAAAAAAAAGAAGAAAAAGTAACAGAAGAATTATTTCTATCTCATCTTTCATCATCGGTATGTCCTAAAACATTAATGTTATTTCATACCAAAAAAGAATATAATAATATTTTGATTTCTTAACAGGTTAGAATCGATCTAGATTGTGATTTTTTCTTTTTTTAAATCTAAAATGAATGGGAAAAGATAACTTACAGGATTGAAAGGATCCAATTGTAGCTGAGATCGAAGAAGGTTTCCAGGTAATACTTCCGCTAGGCTCGACGAAAAAGGGTAGATTTTTTGGGGCAGTTTTCTTAACAGGTTAGAAGCAATCTAGATTGTGAATTTAAAAAAAAAAAATCTGTAAAACAGACAATTGACGTTCCGTTAGAACTTAGAAAAGGTTTAAATTCCAAACATTAAATGCAAAAAGATTTTGATTGAAATAATAAAACACAATACATGTTGGCTTCTAGAAATAGAGGTAGCCAATAAGGATTTCAAAGTAAAGACACGGTGGTAAAAAAAAAAGGTTGAGGCATGCTGCCAAATGTCACAATTTCAAAGTTATGCGGATAAAAATAATATATCGATAGATGAAAGAGATATAATCGCTATGTCATCTCTATGTGGGGATAGTCTTGTAGCTAAAGATGTCAGGAGGAGTTGGAGAAAACATAGATTACATGAGATAAAGAGTATTTTATGTATTTAAGCACTAAAGCGCATGGAAATTTTGTTTGTTTCTGGGCTTGAAATTAGAGTTTGATTTTTTTTTTTTTGTGTTTTATATTTTTTGTAATTTTTATGTTTATAACAATTTTTTCTCATATATGAATATAGGCAATTAAAATTAAATTATATTAAATATTATCTCTTATATTATTTTATATTAATATCGACGTGAAATGTGTTTCTACTTGAAAATCTTAACAAATTCTTAACGTTGGTGGCATATAAAGAGCAGTAAGTAGTAGGAATGACAGATTTAAGATTTATTTTTCAAGAGTGTTCATTTCATAATATATATAATTTTAAACAAAATTTTGAAATGATATATTATTATATTATTGCAATTATCCACTATGAATTTTCATATCTGAAAAAAATATATATAACTGTATTAATGCTAATACTATCAGCTACATCTTTCTCAATATATTTAATTAAATAATTATTCAACCAAAAATCAGAATTTTTATTTGAAAAGATTTACCAATTCTGTTGACAAAATGAATTTTTAGAAAAAAAATTTTGAGAGTGTCTAAGAAAACATTTTCCTCCAATTTTTTTGTTTTTCAATTTTTAGGAGTGTCCTAATCTAAGCTAGAGATCCGCCTCTTCATTGGCATGCTGAGATGCAATGGGCAAGGAAGAAGCTTAGAAGGAAGGCTCTAATATCAGTCAGTTTTAGATTAGCTTGCAATGCTTACATTTACTCTTTTTGGAAGGAAAGTAACACTAGGCATACGGGACGAGCACTGAGCAACAAATTTGTGTTCCATCGTGAATATTGTTAGATTTAGACTTGCTGGTTTTCCAAAACATTATTATTGACCCCGTGAATTGCGAACTTTGTTCCGTTTGGGGCCTGCTTGCCTCTATGTTTGAAAAGTTCTTTGCTGCTGTTTGCAGCTTGGTTTTGGACTGTAGCAGCTATGGCTGCTTCTTCGATAAATAAACAACTTATCCAAAAAAAATAATAATAATAATAATGCCTAAAAAGTGCAACTGTTGTTTAGAATATCTGCCAAAGACTTTGAAAGTCTTTCAATCCTAGCTAGCTCGTCTCACACGCTTCAGTTTAGGTGATATGTAATAGTCAGAGTTGGTCCAACATTTAAATTTTGTTTCTGAATTCTACATATGGTTTGTCTTTTTCTCTCATCTACCAGGCTCAACATTTTCCATGCAGCTTCCTTTGACTAACCCCCCCGTAAGGGCAATTATTAATCAGTCAATGGGAATCGTATATGCTATCTGATTTGACTTCTAATTACAAGATCTAATTTCTCATCTTCAGGCTTTGCGGATCCAAACGCCCTGCTTCTTTCTTTCTTTCTTCTCTTTTGTTTGTCTTCATCATGATGAATAGAAGCAATAAAAGTTTGAGTTTGCAAAGCCTGTTACTTCTCCAACTTTCAAATCTCTGTGTCTTCATTGCAGAGGAGGCAGTGCCTCCTTATATCCCTATTGAAAACATCACAATTAACTGTGGCGCCTTCTCTGACTCCAAAGCTTTAGATGGTCGCTTGTGGAGTGGGGAAAGCAATTCTAAATTCCCCGTCATACATTCACAAAACAAACTATCCGTATTTTTGAGTGCCTCTACTGGCCATGTACCCTACATCACAAGCCGCCATTCTTACTCCGAATTCACCTACATGGTTCCCCTCACTAATGGGCAAAAGTTCATTCGCTTGCACTTTCATCTAAATTCATATCCGGGTTTTAATCTGTCCAAGGCTTTCTTCTCTGTTAAGGCAGGTCCATTTACACTTCTTAGGAACTTCAGTGCTTTACTTCATGCTCAAGGCAAGGAAACTCTTGTTAAAGAATTCTACGTTAGTGTCAAAGATGGTCAGAGCCTAAACATAACATTCACTCCAAGTTCTGCTATCACAGATGCATATGCTTTCATAAACGGGATTGAAATTGTGTCTATGCCCACCAACCTATACTACAGACCTGCCAATGATGAAGGTGTCAGCTTTCTTGGCCAGTCTAACTTATACCGGTTTGGAAACGACACTGCCCTTGAGATGATGCACCGGATCAGAGTTGGTGGAAGTAAAATCCCGCCCGCAGAAGACACTGGCATGTACAGAGCCTGGTCAGGGGACCAAGACTACCTGACAGTTGCGAAGCCAAGTGCTCTTCCAGTTAACAGCAGTATGAATCTCAACTTCAGCGTTGTGCCATCATTCTCTGCTCCAGATACCATCTATAAAACTGCTAGAACAATGGGGACAAACAAGACTATGAATGAGCACTACAATCTAACTTGGCAGTTTCCTGTTGACTCTGACTTTGATTACTTTGTGAGGTTGCATTTTTGTGAGTTCCAGCAGGAGATAATAAAAGCAGGTGATAGAGTCTTCCTGATTGTCGTAGCCAATCTAACAGCAGAAACGGAAGCAGACGTTATATTGTGGAGTGGTGGAAATGGGATTCCAACGTATAAAGATTACGCAGTGGCAATAATGAATGGAGGAAATCGAAAGAAACAAAATCTCTCAATTAAGCTACACCCTGCCCCAGCATGGAGGACTCTCTATTCGGATGCAATCCTGAATGGAGTTGAAATTTTCAAATTGAGCAAGAGTGGTGATCTCTCCGGACCTAACCCTGATGCAATACCCAATCTTCTCGAACCAATGAAGCCGCCGATTGAGCAATCAGGAAAGAAGAGGACAATAATTGTCGCTGTTGTTGGTCTAATTTCTAGCTTTGCTGCAATCTCTCTTCTATTTTTCTTGATTTTAAGGATACGTTCCAGTAAATTTGCCAACAACAGTAACCGTGCTCTACCTTCTGATATCTGTCGCCACTTCTCACTAAGGGAGATAAAAGCAGCTACCAACAACTTTGATAAGAATTTCATCATTGGAAGAGGAGGATTTGGCGACGTGTACAAAGGATTCATTAATGCTGGCTCGACCCCCGTTGCAATCAAACGTTTGAATCCAGGTTCACAACAAGGGGTGCTTGAATTTAGGACCGAAATCGAGATGCTTTCTCAACTTCGGCACCAAAATTTAGTTTCTCTAATGGGCTATTGCAAAGACAATAACGAAATGATCCTAGTGTATGACTACATGGTTCATGGAACCTTGAGAGATCACCTCTACAACACGAACAATCCCCCATTACAATGGGAAAAAAGACTCAAAATGTGTATTGGTGCTGCAGGTGGGCTACATTATCTTCACAGAGGTCCCGACCACACCATCATTCACAGGGACGTGAAGACCACAAATATTTTGTTAAGTGAGAAATGGGTGGCCAAAGTATCTGATTTTGGATTGTCTAAAATAAACGAACTGTCCAACACGCATATCAGCACTGCCGTCAAGGACAGCTTTGGCTACTTGGATCCTGAATACGTCCGTCTTCAACAACTGACAGAGAAATCGGATGTGTACTCTTTTGGCGTGGTGTTGTGTGAAGTATTATGTGCTAGAGCACCAATAGATGGAACTGTGGATCATTTGCAAATAAGTTTAGCAGAGTGGGCACAACATTGCTACAACAATGGAACCCTTGCTCAAATAATAGATCCTTATTTACAGGGTAAGATCAACCTTCCAAGTCTGTTAAAATTTGGTGAAGTAGCTATGAGTTGTTTGGCTTCCGAGGGGAGTAAAAGGCCGGCTATGAGTGAAGTGGTGTGCGGGCTTGAGCTTGCATTGCAGCTGCAGGAGAGTGGAATTATTGGAAACGATGAGAATCATGTGAATGACTCAACAGTCATTGATTATCATGTGTTGTTTACTAGTGGTAGTGGATCATTGAATGTTGGTCGCTAGAATAGATGCTTTAATTTTTTGCCCATTGTAATCTTAATTCCATCTTTTTATGAACACTAATAATAACTGAAGTGCAGATAAAGTTTAATATTATTTTTGTTGATGCAAAGTCGTTATAATCTAAAATAGAAAAAAATATTATAAGTATGAAAAATTAAATTTTAAATATATTTTATGTAAATTTTTAAAAGTGATTATACAAATCAAATAAGTTAAATTTTAAACTAATAATTTATTATTATGACTTATTATTGAATGAATTTTTATTTAATTTTTGGATGTATCAAAAGACTTACCTTCCTAACTTGCACTAAAAAAAAATTACCGCACTTTGGATTGTATTAGAGATACTCTTCTTCTATGTTCCCTATATCTCACACTTCAAGATTCAAGTTCTAATTTTAAAAAACATTATTTCAATATTTTTAACCAATAACTTCATAAATTTGTTTTTAGGAACTAAGCTTAAAGTATTATCTTTCAAACTTAACCAATATATTTTGACATGATAAGATATAATTTCCTTAAAGAAAAAAAAAGAGAGCAGAAATATGGAGTTGTTTTTCGCAGAATATATATCAGTCGAAGATTTTTCCAAGTCTTCGTAGTCGACGTCCGTGGAAAAGTCTTACAGAGAAAAGTCATGCTGGGGCCCATGGGAAATTTGTCTGGAAAATGATAAGGTGTGCTGTGGGCTCAACATTAGTGTCACATCCCCCTACAAAAGGCTACTGTTTTTAATATTAAAATATTAATTGTTATTCTATGAAAGCACATTTCTTTTTTTTTTTTTTTTTCCTTTTTTTAATAATTTCGACGGGTAAAAGTATCTCTGATCATTATTTCTATGCAATTTTATTCTTTTTAATGTAATGACAATATATTCAACGAGTAAAATTTTTATTTTTATATAAAAAAGATTATTGTAATACAAATTAAATAGTTATTGAAATTGAATCACAGATTAATTTAATTAATTTACATAATATTCGAAAAAAATAACATTTAATAATATAAAATTTAAATATCTAACATCTACAATTTTTTTTATTTTTAATTTATGAACTTTTTTGTAAAAGAATAATTATTGAAACCTCACTTTACTTTTACAATTTGATGAACATTTTTTTTATAAAATATATATACATATATATGACAGACTATTGCAAAGTACGTGTCACATATCTCACAGTTTTGAATATTTTTGCAAATTGAAGAAAAACTAAAGTAATGTTAATGCATCAGATCATAAATTTAGTTCAGTGATTAATATATATATATATATATGATTTCTTCCTAAAAATAAAGTTGGATTTTGTTAATTTAAAAAAACTTATATTGATGTTTTTTAAAGGTAAATATATAAAAAAAATACAAAGATAACAAAAAAAAAAAAAGCAAGAAAAAAAGTGTGCCGTATTTTTCTTCATCATTTAAGAAGATCATAATGTCCAACAATACAACACAGTCGTTGGAATTTATTAGATAAAATCTCCATTTGTATAAATGGTTTGGGCATGAAAACCTTTGGAAAATAAAATCTTCATTTTTATTTTCTTATTTCAATTTATTGGATAAAATATCCTAAGAAAATTATGAATTAGCTAGGATTAAGATTATTTAAATTGCAATTGGATTATATTGATTGCTACAGTATAAAAAAGCGCCTGCATACTATTTATTGTGTTCCCAAAAATTATTTTAAGATGATTAGAGTTACATTCATAATAATGTCCCATATCAAAACATTGTCATAACTCTTTCTTATATAATCTTGATTAGTTTTTCTAAAAAATAATAATTCATTAAAATTAAAGTAAAATAAAATTTATTTAGGAGCATAGCTAATTCTTTCTTATTTCAATTTAGAAAAAAATAATTCAGCAAGTTGGCAATAAGGATACCAACTGCAATTGACAACAGGAAGCCAATGTTCAATCATCAATGCTCCTGTGTATATGTATATGTGGGTATATACATGCCTTATTTTGTTGCTTAAACATGCACTGATTCACAATAAACCAAAAGGGTTAATTTTATAAATGGTTATTATATTATAATATAATATTTAATATAATATTTAAATTTTAAAATTTTTTAATATGATATCTGATTACGATCTATTAATTTATATAAAATTAAAAAAAATTTTACTCACCATATGTCATTATTTAAAGCTAACTATATTAAAACTAAATATCATATTCTTTAATATATTTATAATTCATATATTATATTAAAAAATTTTAAAATTTTAAAATTACATTAAATATTTTACTGTAACATAATATCAATCATTATATTATCCCAAATAAAAATCAAGGAGACTTCATATTTTTCTGTGAAGCTAATTCTCATGAAACTATATAGTGATGAGTTCCGACGACCACCAATACGCCCCCTTGTGTTTATAAAGTTTAATTTATTATTATTGTTGGAAGTCGTTTCTGTGCTAGTAAAGTTTAATTTAATATTGCTGTTCAAAGTCGTTTTTGCATTTAAAAATTGCTTTTGTTTCAACATCAATAATAAACAAAAATCAGATTGATTTTTTTTTTGATAAATTTGATATACAAATTAAAGTTCTTTCCTATTAATGTGGTATAGCAAGAATGTTTCACCTACTCTACCAATAAGTTTTTTTGGAAAAATCAGACAAGAAGTAATCCTTCAATCTCTATATATTTATTGAAAAATTCTATACTGAAAAATTTAGTACTGAATTTTCAATTCTAAAACAATTAAGTATTGAATTGTTACATAAAAAATTGTTTGGTATTCTACTTAAAAATTAAATATTGAATAGATGTTTGTTGGTTTTTTATTAATTTTTTACATTAATAAAAGTTAAAAAAATAAATAATTAAAAGGAAAAGAAAATATATAAAATAATTAAATGACAAATTTTTCTTTAAAACAAAATTGATTGAATTCATTAATTAAGTAGCATTTAACTATTAAGGTTTTCAACATTTTTTTATTGAAATTTTTATTAATTGATTTTTAAAATTAGTTACCAATGTGACATTAAACTATTCAAAACTTTCATTGAATTTTTTTTACATTTGAAATTGTCAAGATTTTTGTCAATAACATTTCATCTATTGATAAAGCATTCAACTTTTAATTTTAATAATAAAAATTCAATTTTTGATAATTTTAAATATAAAAAATATGAATTTTTATATAAAAAACACCTTAACTTTATTGGTAATTAAAGATCTCGAACTCTTGAGTGATTAGCGAATTACTAGATCATTGACTAACTATAATTTGATTTCTAAAATAATAATTAACACAATAGGGTTGGGCTGTCTATTTCTAAAATTAGTTTCCTTGTATTGAATTATGGTTAAAACTTAAGAGGATTTGGGTGGAATTACAATCGCAGCATACCGGTAATCATATGTGCTTAAATTGTACGGGTAAGGGGAGGTTAACTGTGCTACCTATAGGCTACGACCATCAATCATACTGATCCTTTTCGAAAACTATTGTATAAGTTTCTAAGATTCACTGTGATACCTGCAGGCTACAACCATCAATCAAATTGATCGTTTTTGAAGAATATTGTATAAGTTTCTAAAAGATTCCAATTTCCAAAGAAGAGAGTTCAAAACCTTCGAGTCGACCCTACATTTTCACATGCTTTCCTGTGTTAGAGCCCGACAGTGAGGTCACCGTACACCCTGAGCACATGGCCATTACTTTCATCATCTCATTAATATAAACCTTGGTCAGTCTGCTATAAGGATAAATCAAATTATAGTTAGTCAACGATCGAGTAATTTACTAATCACGCATGTAGACACTTCAATTCGTTCGAAACTTTTAGTAGAAGGATCAAGATATTTAATAGTTTTTTATTTGAATTTTGTCTAGACTATTGGACTTTGGAGATGTGTATTGGGAACAATTGGGCTTTGAATTTGGGTGAGCTTCAAGCCCAATAGACAGTTTTCTTTAGTTTTTCCTATTTATATTTGGGAGCCCAGCAGATAATTCTTTTGTTTTTAACAGTTTTCTCCTTTTTTTTCTATTTTATTTTTTAATAAAAATTAAATAATAAATAAAAGGGAAAGAAAATCAAGATTTTTTTATTCTATTAAGGGATTCAATCCTAGAAATCAAGTTAAGAAATTAAATCTAAAAAATTATTGACTGAAATCCAAGCAAAATTTTAAAGGCAAGAAAATCAAGCCATGAACGGATTCTAATTTATGCCATTCAATAAAAATTCCTAAAATTCCTAATGAAAAACCCTTTGTAAATCCTATTCTTACATATAGAAAATACACGAAGAGAATAGGCAAAAATCATAAAAAAAAAAAAATCACACAGTTTAAAGAAAGTATTGTTTTGGTAGTAAGGTTTTTTATTTTTGAAGAATTTTAAAAAATTTGAGAAATTTTAAGGGTATAATTCGGTCAAGGTATAATCTAGGAGGCAAATAAGGTGATTGGTTGTTATTTTTTTTTGGGGGGGGGGGGGGGATTTTCTACCTTTTTCTAGAATTTTTTAGGAAATTCTAGAAATTAGATGAATTTTTTAATTTCTTAGTTGAATTTATCGGCTAAAATTAAAGTTATCGACTATATTTTGATGAGTTTTTCCAAAATTTGGCAAGTCCCCATATTTTGACTACCGATGTTCATATTTTTCTAGAGAGAGAAGTAAAGAGAAAATTAGTTAGAGAGAGATTGTAAGGAAATCTAATATAGAAAACAAAAATTTTTACCTTTTATACTGATGTAAACAACATCATTTTAGATCTAGGATTCATCAGGATCTGCGTGTTTCTATTCTCGAATATGATTTGTTGCGTTACCTAGTTTGCAACTCGATTCTAGTAGCCTTCTTAAGCCAAATTGAATGGTCTCAACTAAGTCGTTCCAGCTAGTTTTCATGCTTGAAGCCGAGTCGTGCTTCCAAGCCACTAAGCCAAGCTGAATTCTGGTATTTTTTTTATTTTATTCCTTTATTTCTATTAAATTATTTCTTTATTTTTTAATTGTTTATTTATTTATTTATATTTGTAAATACATATATTTTTTATGAAAATATTTTTTAAAATAAAAATAGCCTTACCAACATATTG